AGAAAACAAAATCTTGAATTTGCCCAGTGGTATGAATGGGGCCAGACATCATTGGAGACAGATTCATGGTTGTCAACAAGGACATAAAGCCTTGAGCCACTCCCATTAGGGCAGTCTCACCAAGCATATGGAAGTCCCAAAGCCCTATAAGCTGTGGGGAGTCAAACTCCACAAAACACCCAGCCATCTCAATGAAATTGTAAAGCAGTTGAGTGGGTGCCACACCAAATGGATCACTTATCTCGCCTAGCTACCCATCTTCTAATACATACATTCAAACCTCACACTCAGAGTTAAGGTGATGGTATCCTGATAGACCACTGTCAGTCCACTTCCCTATCCCATAGGCTTCAGCTGCTCCCAGACAGAGAATTCTGGAGAGCAAAGATGGAAGAGATTAACCCTGCCAAGTTCTCTGGTACACAGCCCAGGTTAGGAAGGTAATCCATGAGTCCTAAATGGTAGCTAATTTACCTTTCACCAATCTGACATTAGGTAGCAGCATTTCAAACTATGAAGACTGTCACCACTGCTTTTCAGGACATCGGAATTGGGAAATAACTACAGTATTTTAGTTACCTAATTATACTAAGAACCTTGAAAAGACATTCTCTCACCTTGTCTTGCAAAATAGTATGTAGCTCACCATCTAACTTTACAGATCAGGCCTCAACAGCCCCCAAGTCTTTGCTGGGGTTTGGTTGCAGGACCCCTCATGGATGGGGGCTCAAGAACCATGATACAGAACACCACACTAAAATGGCATCCTAATATAAAGTTTAAAATATTTTAAGCCATGCATGATTGAATCCATAGATACAGAGTCTGGGTATGGAGGGCCAACTGTACACATGACCTTGGAGGTGTCTACGGACACTTTTTATTCATGAAGTCAACCACACGTTCAATTCTCTCTAAACCAACTTTTTTCTTATATGATGTTCTAACTCACATACATAATAATTATTCACTCTGAATGTGCAAATGCAAAAATAGATACTGGGCGCTAACTCCATGAATCTGAGCTTTTAAAAGTATCTTTCTAGGTAGTTATATGAGAAAAACTAGAGCTGACTGGGTATGAGCAAATGCTACAAATCTGCTTCATGCAACATAGATCCAACACAGTGGTTCACAACCTTTTTCTTGACCAAGGACCACTTGACCAGGGACCACTCTCCAACATTAGTACCAAAAGAGTTATGAATCAGTTTTTGGTCAACTTTAGATTCAAGTTTGGTTATTTGGGGTGGTGATTCAGAAAATTGAACTGGATAGACCACATCAGCTCTAGTTTCTGATATAGTACATATGCCATTCAGTAGTCAACATCTGCTTACCCACAGAAAATCATATTTAATAATCTAGAGTTGATGTAGTCTATCCAATGCAATTTTCTGAATCACCACCCCAAATAACCCCAGGAACAGGCCTAAATACGAAGACACCAACGCGCCCCCACTTCCAGGTGCCCCTAGGAATGGCTCTGCTGGGGGGGGGGGAGGAGCAGTAGCAGCCAGGAGACTTGTTGCCGTGCCTTTCGTGGGTAGTCAGCCTCTCCCCTCTCGACAGCCCCGTTGCCTTGGCACTGTAAGAGGGTTTTGCAAGACCAGTCACTCTTGTTGTAACGGTGTAGTAATGGTGAGGCTGGGGACCATATTTTAGTTCTTGGGGATCACAGGTTGATCCAACAGCTCTTCCTGACCTTATATCAGTGCAACTCAACATGGTGGCCCATGGCCTGATAACATTCCCTGGCAAATTTCCAGGAAAGTAACAACTGTATGCAATGTGCACAAATTTAGCTCGGTCCACTGTACACTGGAAAAAAACAACTGCTAGTCCATCATATCAGATAGACTGATAATAACTGCCCTGCACTTTTGTTGTTTTCTCATGCACTACATACATGAGCTGAAGAAATATAGCATCTTTCCTCATTCCTCTCCCTCCCTGTTTTCTATCTGGCTCAACATAACAAGCTTTCCAACCTGGTTAGATATAAGCACCTTTAAGCACTTCCCTGCTGAACAAATAAATGAATAGACAGAATGCCTTATTCCAGGGGTCCACAAACATTTTAAACAGAGGGCCAGTTCACAGTCCCTCAAACTGTTGGAGGGCAGGATAATAATTTGAAAAACATGAATGAATTCCTATGCATACTCACATATCTTATTTGTAGTGCAAAAACACTTAAAATACAATTAAAATGAAGAACAATTTTAACAAAGATAAACTTATTAGTATTTCAATGGGAAGTGTGGGCCTGCTTTTCGCTGATGAGATAGCATTGTTGTTGTTGTTGTTGTTGTGTGCTTTCAAGTCGTTTCAGACTTAAGTTGACCCAAGCAAGGGCTGGGTAAATGACCTTGGAGGGCTGTATCTGGCCCCTGGGTCTTAGTCTGAGGACCCCTGCCTTATTCTATGCAGCTCTGAGTAACAAAAAGCCAAGCAGGGCATTCAATCCCACTGTCCTCAAACCAAGGCAAATAAGTAAGAAAAAGGGGGCAGGGGATTGGAGGTCACAACAACTCATGGAAAATGTATGCACATAGCCTTCTAATGAAGAAAACAACAAGGACAAGAAACTAGTGAGGCGAGACTGCTTGCTTGGAGGATGAAGAAGAGACAGTGAGTCAGAGATAGCAAGCCAGTGGGGAGTGTTACACCACAGGTCATAGCTGAGCTACTGAAAAGAGTTTGGCAGAAGCCAACAGGAATATTAGCGATGTGGATGAGGTCTTGAGATTATGAATATCCATCATATATTCCAAGCAGATACAAAGGACACACTAAAAATGGAAATATAAAACTTTCTTACATGTGCAGATATAACCCACATTAGGTTTCAGTCACCAAAGTAAAGAGTATTAATCATCACACATTATGAACTCACATTTCAGGAATAAGGTCTTTTTATTACCCAGACACATTTTTAATTGAAATGCTTCCAAAGTTTACAGAAAAAGATCTACTTATCAGGAAGCCAGACTATGATGAAGAGATAGAATAGGACAGCAAAACTTGTCAAACGATATTCTGAAATTTTACAATACATCTTCTGAGTGACATAGAAAAAGTAACAACTGAGGAAAAACACAACTGCTGTGCCCTATGAAAAGCCCAACGCTCAACTATTTCCTTTTGTGACTGCCATTGTTGCAAAATGGATTTGGAAAAGTGTTGAACGCTCTGAACTGACTATATGGATGGTGTATGCATGATGTCAGCCACTGTACTATTTGGAAGGAGCTGTGAACCAATTACATCCCCGGCCTTTGCTAAACTGATGTTCAATCGAATTTAAATGAGCATGGATACACACAGAAACAATACAAACACAACTCAGAGAGCACCATAAAAGAGATTTAGTACAGACAATGTGATCCATGTTGTTAGAACGGCATAATCCAATAGTATCAGACCCTGATTCCAGATTGGTTCAAGGTTAACTCATACAGGATGGCTGGGAAAGAGTAATCAAACCAAGGGTCTTCCAGATTTCCAGCCACAAGTACATTCCTTTTCAGTGGAGAGTCTTCTGACTCCTATGAGCCCGATGACTCTGTGATGACTCCCTACTAAGAAGTTGGAACATTTATCCCACATCATTGTTGGAGTCCAGCATCCCCCTCCCCCCAGAACAGCCATTTGCCAGGCTCACCATCCGCAAGCAGTCCAAAGGTACACTTCCCCCACTCCCGTTCAAAATCAATGCCATTTTTAAACTTCTGGTGAGAATCACCTTAACAACAGCTGCACACGCAGAACCAGGTGGGTGTGTGAGTCCTCCTGGGTGAATGTAATGTGATATGAAGCTTTTTCAGGTTTTTTTTCCTTAAGAATCAAGAGTAGGGAAGGAAAAACTAACAGGTGGGGGGAAGGAAGGGAGGGAGGGAAGGAGGAAAAGGAAGAATGGGTGGAAGGGAGGAAGGAGGAAAGAAAGGAAGAAAGAAGATAGGAAAGAAGGAAAGGAGGGAGAGAAGGGTGGATGAATTGAAGCAAGGAAAGAGAGAAAGAAAAGAAGGAAGGGAAAGGAGGGAGGGAAGGAGAGAGGAGAGAGGAAGGGAGAAGAATGAAAGAAAAAGAAGAGGGAGGAAGGAAGGGAGGAAAGGCATGGGTGGATGGAAGAAAAGAAGGAAAAGGAAGAAGGAAGGAAAGGAGGGAGGAAAGGGTGGATGAATAGAAGGAAGGAAGTTAAAGATGGAAAGAAAGAAGGGAGGGAGGAAAGGAAAGAAGGAATGAAGGAAGGGAGGAAAGATAGGAAGGAAAGAAGGGAAAGGAAGGAGGGTGGGAAGAAGAAAAAGAAGGAGGAGGAGAGGAAAGAAAAGAAGGAAGGAAGGAAGGAAGAAGGAGGAGGGAGGGGAAGGGGAGGGGGAAGAAGGAAGGAAGGAAGAGGAAGTAAAGAGGGAGGGAGGGAGGAATGAAATTGGGGAGAGATGAAGAGAAAGAAAAAGGGAGGGAAGAGAAGGAAGACAAAGAGAGGAGAAAAGAAGGAAGGAAAAAAGAAGGAAGGGAGGAAGAAGGATGGAGGGAGAAAAGAAGGAAGAAAGAAGAAGAGAAAAGAGGAAGGGAGAAAGAAGGAAGACAAGAAGGATGGAGGGAAGAAAAGAAGGAAAGAAGAAAAGAAGGAAGGGAGGAAGAAGGATGGAGGGGAGAAAAGAAGGAAGAAAAAGGGAGGAAGAAAGAGGAGGAGAAAAGGGAAGGAAGAAAGAAAGAGGAAGAAAGGAGAAAAGGGGAAGGGAGGGGGGAGGGAGGGAGAGAGGAAGAGAAGGAAAGGAAGGAAGGAAAGAAGGAAGGGAAAGAAGGAAGGAAGGAAGGAAGGAAGAAAAGAAGGAAGGAAGGAAGGAAGGAAGGAAGGAAAGAAGGAAGGAAAGAAGGAAGGAAGAAGGAAGGGAAAAAGGAAGGAAGGAAGGGAGAACAAGGACGGGAGGAGAGAGGAAAGAGAGGCAACCGCCCGCCCACCCAGCCGCACCCCAACCTTTTCCCTTTTTTACCTTTCACTTGACTTTCATATTCAGCCACGATCTCTTTGTCCTTCTTGAATCTGCTTGGGGTTGACATGATGATGATGATGATGCCAAGGATGATGATCCGCACGGCGTTCCCTTTAAGAGGCAGGGAGAGGCTCCCCTGGTCCCGTATCCTTCTCGGGAAGAGGAGGCTGAGGGCGAAGCGGCGCGAAGGAGCAGAGGGAAGAGAGGGAGGGAAGGAGGGAGTTCAGGCGGATAGCCCTGGCGCCGGCACCATCTCCGGGCCCCAAACTGAGGCGAACTCTCCTCCTCCTCCTCCTCCTCCCTCCAGGAAGGCTCCTCCCGGGCTAACTCCGCGCCAGAGTCAGTCACGCCGCCCCCCGCCCGCCCGCAGCGTTGTCTGAGGGGAGACCCGCCTCCTCTCCCCAACTTCCTCCTCCAGCGAAGCCCCTTCTCTCTCTCTCCGCCTCAGAAAGTAACTTCTCCGCCGGCCTCCCCGCTCACTTTCCCCTTCTGGCCGCCTTTCCTTTCAGGCCAAACTCCTGCCTGAGGGGAGCGCCCAGCCAATGCCGACGACCCCGAGTTCTCCTCAAGCACCCCCCTCCCTTCTCCCCCTCCCTGAGCGACGCCTGCCTCCCCCAATCGCCAACACCCGGCTTCCAGTGCCGACCAATGGCACGAGGGCGGTGGGCGGGGCTTAGCCTGAGTGAGTATTTAAGTGAGCCCCTTGTTGAGGGACACAGAGGAAGCAAGGGACTAGAGTGAAAAATGGCTGTTGATATGTCTATATCAGGCATGAGCAAACTTGGGCCTTCCAGAGGGTTTGGACTTCAACTCCCACCATTCCTAACAGCCTCAGGCCTTTCCTTTTGCCGCTTAAGCGGCTGAGGGGGAAAAGGAAGGGCCTGAGGCTGTTAGGAATGGTGGGAGTTGAAGTCCAAACCCTCTGGAAGACCCAAGTTTGCTCATGTCTTATCTATCTATCTATCTATCTATCTATCTATCTATCTCAGTTTTCTCAACCTTCCCAATGCCGCGACCCCTTAATACAGTTCCGCATGTTGTGGTGACCCCCAACCATAACATTATTTTCATTGCTATTTCATAACTAATTTTTCTACTGTTCTGAATCGTAATGTAAATATCTATATATATAAATCTGTTAGGTTGGTTCAACGGCTTAGCAAAACTCCACAACCCCCCAGCGAAACGGCACCAAAATTGCCATGCCCATAGCACAACCCACAAGGTACAAACATATCTACTCAAAATGAAAAACAACACAACAACACACTCACAAAACGGCAAAACAACAAAACTCAAAAAACCCCAACGAAACTTAACCAAAATTCCCATGCCCATAACACAACCCACAAGGTACAAACATATCTACTCAAAATGAAAAACAACACAACAACACACTCACAAAACGGCAAAACAACAAAACTCAAGAAACCCCCAACGAAACTTAACCAAAATTCCCATGCCCATAACACAACCCACAAGGTACAAACATATCTACTCAAAATGAAAAACAACACAACAACACACTCACAAAATGGCAAAACAACAAAACTCAAAAAAACCCCAACGAAACGTAACAAAAATTCCCATGCCCTAACACAACCCACAAGGTACAAACATATCTACTCAAAATGAAAAACAGCACAACAACACACTCACAAAATGGCAAAACAACAAAACTCCACAACTCCCCAACGAAACTTAACCAAAATTCCCATGCCCATAACACAACCCACAAGGTACAAACATATCTACTCAAAATGAAAAACAACACAACAACACACTCACAAAACGGCAAAACAACAAAACTAAAAAAACCCCAACGAAACTTAACCACACACACACAAAACCCCATGCTCCATCACTCCCCCCGCCGCCGCACACACACACACAACCCCACGCTCCATCACTCCCCCCGCCGCCGCACACACACACGCAACCCCACACTCCACACTTCCCCCGCTGCCGCACACACACACGCAACCCCACTCCCCCCGCCGCCGCACACACACACGCAACCCCACGCTCCATCACTCCCCCCGCTGCCGCACACACACACGCAACCCCACACTCCATCACTCCCCCCGCCGCACACACACACACGCAACCCCACTCCCCCGCTGCACACACACACGCAACCCCACGCCATCACTCCCCCCGCTGCCGCACACACACACACGCAACCCCACGCTCCATCACCCCCCCGCCACCGCACACACACGCAACCCCACTCCCCGCCGCCACACACACACGCAACCCCACGCTCCATCACTCCTCCCGCCGCCACACACACACACACACCCCACGCTCCATCACTCCCCCCCCAATCTTACCTCCTTTTACTTCACGCCACCTCCAACCCCACCCCGCCCCTCCCTGCCCTGTCAAAATCTAGGAAAGACAGGAAGGAAAGAAGAAAGAAAGAGAAAGGGAGGTAAAGAAAAAGGGGGAAGGAAGGAAAGTTAGAGAAAGAAGGAAGAAGAAAAGGAAAGAAAAGGAAAGATGGAAGGAAAGAAAAGAGAGACAGCAGAAGAGAAAGAAAAAGGGGAAAGGAAGGAAAGAGGTTGAGAAGGAAGAAATGAGAGACAGAGGGAGGGAAAGAAAAAGGGGGAAGGAAGGGAGGAGAGAAGGAAAGAAAAAAGGGAATGAAGGAAGGAAAGAGGGAGTGAAGGAAGGGCAAAGATGTAGAGAAAGAGGGAGGGAAGGAAAGAAGGAAAGAGAGAAGGAAGAAAAGAGACCAGAAGAGAAAGAAAAAGGGGGAAGGAAGGAAAGAGATAGAGAAGGAAGAGGAGAAGGAAAGATGGGAGGGAAGGAAGGAAGGAAGGAAGGAGGGAAAGAAGGAGAGAAAGAGGGAAGGTTGGCCACAGCAACACGTGGCGGGTAAAGGTTGTTATTTCTATTATTATTATGCTATTATTCCTATTAGACCCTGGGGGAATGGGAGAGGTGTCAGGTCCCAGAGGCAATGCATTGCATTATTGTTATTGTTATGATGGTGGTGAAATAAAAGGAAATAAAAAGAGAAAGAAGGAAGCAAACAGGGAGGGAAGAAAGGCAAAGGAAGAAAGGTGGAGGGAATGAAGGAAAGAGAGAAAGATGAAACCAAGTAGTGAAAGAAGGAAAGAAAGAAAGAGGTAGAGAAGGAAGAAAGGAGAGAAAGGGGAGGAAAAGGGGGAAGGAATAGGTAGGTACCTCTCTTTCATAATAGTCCAGATATCTACCTCAACTTTGATAAGTTTTACTATAGGCCACAGCAACGCGTGGCAGGGCACAGCTAGTCTGATATAAAGGATATATTTTCATTCACTGGACCAAATTTGGCACAAATATCCGATACGCCCACATTTAAATACTGGCGGAGTTGGGGAGGAATGGTTTTGTTGTCTGGGAGTTGTAGCTGCTGGGATTTATAGTTCACCTACAATCAAAGAACATTCTGAGCGATGTAATTGAACCAACTAGGCACACAGAACGCCCAACGACCAACAGAAAATACTGGAAGGGTTTGGTAATACTGGCGGAGTTGGGGAGGATTGGTTTTGTCTTCTGGGAGTTGTAGCTGCTGGGATTTATAGTTTACCTACAATCAAAGAGTATTCTGAACTCCACCAACAATGGAATTGAACCAGTCTTGGCACACCGAACTCCCATGACCAACAGAAAATACTGGAAGGGTTTGGTGGACATTGACCTTGAGTTTTGGAGTTGTAGTTCACCTACATCCAGAGATCACACAATGATGGATCTGGACCAAATGTGGTATGAATGCTCAATATGCCCAGATGTGAACACTGGTGGAGTTTGGGGGGAAATAGACCTTGACATTTGGGAGTTGTAGTCACTGAGATTTATAGTTCAACTACAATCAAAGAGCATTCTGAACCCCATGAACAATAGAATTGGGCCAATTTCCCACACAGAATTACCATGACCAACAAAAAATACTGTGTTTTCTGGATGGTCTTTGGTGACCCCTCTGACACCTCCTCACGACCACCCTAGGGGTCCTGAGCCCCAGGTTGAGAAACACTGATCTATATATATATATATATATATATATATATATATATATATATTCACATAAAGATAATTTTCCAAGATGTTTACAATAGCATATATGGCTCTTCCCCATTGTCATTCCCAGTTGTATCTTGGTTTCTCTAGTGCCTTTGCTTGCTTTTGTTGAAGGGCGCCTTGGAGTCCCTTCTGGCAAATGGTGACTTTCTCACTGTGCTTTCCGATGCTGAGGGAATGACTTGCCCAAGATCACCCAATCGCTTTCCAAGGCTAGGCTGGGATTTGAACCGTGGTCTCTTCAGAGTTGTAGGCCAATGCTGAAACGGCTCTCTGGTGGTGTACAAAAACCATGCCAGAGGTAAATGTTGCTTCAGAAAGCCTGTTTGGCTAGCTAGGCAATCATGGGTTAAGCAAAGCCGGCAACGGTAAAACCCACAGGCACAAACCATTGCTTTCCAGTTCTCATTAAATGAATACCTAAGGAACTTCCTTTGTGCTTGAAATTAATAACCAACTCTGTGATAAGGCCATTGGGCTTCCGTTTCATTGTCATGTGCCTTCAAGTTGTTTTTGACTTATGCTAGTTTAAGGTGACTCCATCACAAGGGTTTTTTCTTGATAAGATGTGGTCAGGGGAGGGTTGACCTTGGCTTCCTCTGAGGCTGAGAGAGTGTGACTTGCCCAAGGTCACCAAGTTGGTGTCCATGGCTGAGCAGGGGATTCTCATGTGTCAATAGGACCAATCTACACAGACAATTTAATGCATCTTCAGAACAGTATTGAAGAAACTGTTTTCGCTGTGCAAATGATTACATAGGAAATTCTGGAATCAGTCTGAGGTACACATGGTGATTGCACAAACCACAGAATGCTGATGCGCATTAAGGGCTTTGTATTGTTGAAGAATTTCATGACCGGAATCACTGGGTTGTTGTAGGTTTTTCGGGCTATATGGCCATGTTCTAGAAGCATTCTCTCCTGACGTTTCACGTGCATCTATGGCAAGCATCCTCGGAGGTTGTGAGGTCACAACCTCTGAGGATGCTTGCCATTAAGGGCTTCCTTTTACATTTTTTGGGGAGTTTGTTCTCTGGCCGCTGCAGTTTCAAGCTAATTTTGAACCACATTAAATGGCCAGTGTAAGTGGGGCCCTCTGGTGGCACAGCGGGTTGAGCTCCAGCTGTTAGACCCAGTTTCTGCCAGCCTAGCAGTTTGAAAACATGCAAATGTGAATAGATCAATAGGCACCAACTTGACTGGAAGGTAACAGCGCTCCATTCAGCCATGCTGACCACATGACCTTGGAGGTGTCTATGGACACTGCCGGCTCTTCGCCTTTGAAATGGAGATGAGCACCACCCTCCAGAGTCAGACATGACTAGCTTTAATGTCAGGAGAAACCTTTACCTTTATTAAGAGTGGCTATAGTCCAATGTTCAAACCACTGCATCACACTGGTTCTTTCAGTTTTAGTGTGGAGTCCAAACTTATTGGTTATCTCGTGCTTGGATGTGGATCAGACAGGAAAGAGCATTCACCCATCTGGTGTCTGCTCTGGTGTTCTTCAGGAAG